TTAGAAATGAGGAAAGTTAGGCTCGGAAAGATGAAGTCATTTACCCTAGGTCACACAGCTAGTAAGCCAAGGCTTATTAGGGTTCATTAAACTCTGTTAAGATGGCAATCAGCCGAAATAAGATTTTCTATAGAGCCTGTTAGAATCTATGATATCTCAAAAACTTCCATTCAAATTCATTTTGCAAGTCCGATGCCTGGGACAAGAACTTTAGCCTGAAGCAAAGGTTCAAGCTCAAGTCAGGTGGCATTCAATGATGAGCATGGGCAGAGAGTGGGGGTCAGATTATAGAGAGCTTTGTGTATTTAGCTGATGAGTGCGGACTTCCATCTGAGGACGGTGCAGAGCTCCCAGCACTTTCTGAGAAGGGCAGTGCGGTGATCAGACATACGATTTTGGACAGTAGCTCTCCAATGGACCTGCGCATCTTAGAATCTCCTTACGGTCATTTTAGAATCTCACCCAAAAAGGCAGGATCTCTCGCTTTGTACCAGAGATTCTGATTCAGAACCTCTGCAGTGGGGCCCAGGGAATCTGCGTCTTTAAACAAACACATCAGGGAAGCTCCTGAGGCCACAGGTCCGTGGATTAGGTCTTGAGATGCAGTTTTAGGAAGATGAGTGTGGTGGTCAAGAAAGAGGCTGAGGGCAGGAGAATAGTTAAGAAGGTATTGTGACCATTCAGGTGGGTTACATAGAAACCTGACCTTGAGTGGGAGCGCTGGTAAATCAAAACAATGACCGCCTTGTCAAGTTCCCTGGAGTTTGGGGGAAGCATGTTTCCAACAGCGACGGATGCTGAAGAGCATTGGGTAACTACTGATGACTGTTTAGGTCAAACTCATTCTTGATAAGTCCTGTTCATCTTAACAAGTCAGTGCTGAGGCCCCTTACTTAACCTTCCTTCCTACCTGTTCACTTTTGCAAAGCCTAAATCTGCCTCTTGGGTCAAATTCACGAAGTCTTTGCCACGTAATCCCAAGGCCCTTGATGGACGCATGGTCCTGCTCTAGCTAGTTTCAGGGACAGAAGACCTTTTTCGGGCCTGAGAGAAAACACCACTCTTGTGTTTGAATTAACCTCTCTTGTGTTTCCTTGAGAAAGCTGGTGAGGTCGGGCTCCAGTTGACTGATTAGGGCCTATCAAGCTATGGTTAAAGCACTCTCTGCTAAGACTTGACAATTCCTTTCAGGTCCTCCTAAGTCACATGAAATCCAGTAGAGTATTTTTAAGTCACAAAAACTGTTAAACTTTTCTTAGGCCCAGTTAGGCATCAGTAAATCTTACTGAGCTTTGTGAAGTCACAAGATTTAACCAGGCACAATGAGAATAGAATTTACACAATTTAGTGAGACTTGATGAGGTTTATTGAACCTTATCCTGCCCTTCAGGCAATAAGATCAAAATTTTAAAATTCAAATGAGAGGGAAGCAAACTATTCTATTTCTTTTCTTTTTTTAAAAGTGAAGTGAACTACCTGAATTTACAAGACTTGTGTGTCCCCTTCCCTGAGGGCCCTTCGTGACTGCTAACGTGATAAACTAGGAGGTGCTTTTAATGGGTTACTCTCCTTCCTCTCTCCTAGGTGGCATAGATGCATTTTAATAGGGTCTTCTGCACAGGCTGCTTTCACCCAGAGTAGAGACTTGGAGTGTGGGAATTCCAAGCACCCACCCAGACCGGTGAGGGAGGCAGCTAGATCTTTGGGGCCCTCTGGGATCTCACTGTGAAGACAGGCCCATACTCTGACAATGTTGGGTGGGGAGGTGGGTGGGAAAGGAAGGGGCCTGCTGGTGAGTCATCTTTGGTAAGTGCACTAAAGTAGGTCCCCAATCAGCCAGGGACATCATGCATTTTCACTGCTGGAGGGAGTATGGGTGACTCACTTGGCACTTTGTGGATTAGATCTTTCAGGAGATCTGTCACTGGCTACATTCAAAACTCAGAAGTAAACCTTAGGGTAGGTCTTTTATACATTTAATTATGTAACCTTTGTTATATATATATATTTTTTTTAATTAGAAAAGTTTTTTTTTAATCACAACAGGACATATACTACTTTTGGCTTATTTTCTTGCCAGCACTTTCAATTCTTCATCTCAGAGTCAGTCTTTAGCTATCAAAGACACAGGCATCCATCAGACATCTAGGTTTCAAACTCGTAGCAATAATAATGATAGTGTCATCAAATACGTATTAAGCTTATTTTATGTCAGGCACTGTTCTAAGTGCTTTACAAATATGAACTCATTTAATTCTCACAACGACCCTCTGAAGTTGGAGCTATTATTTTCTCCATTTACAGGGGAGGAAACTGGGGCATGGAAGGGTTAGTGACTTCCCCAAGGTCACAGACCTGGTAAATAGTGGGGCTGGGATTCAAACCCAGGCAGTATGGATCCAGAGCCAACATTCTCAACCTGTAACATCAGCAGTAATCAGTTTGGGGGCTTAGGGGCTTAGGGTCAACCATCCACTATATTCCTATTTTGGAAGGAAAACCAGGATACATTGTTGAGCTTAAAAAAATGGAAACTGAGTAACATTGAAAACTATATGGTTTCATTTTTGTTATCAATATTATATGTGTGTGGGGAGAGAGAAGGGGGGATTAGATTTGAATGTGAAAAGGACAAGGAGGTCTGGAAGAAATCATATAATTATACTAGTTACTTTGGGGGAGTGAGAATTGTGTAGGTAATTGGTCATTTCATTTTTTATTTACATGTTTCTATATCATTTGCAGTTTTTACAACCATGTAATCAAACACACACACACACACACACACACACACACACACTGAAGAACGAATTAAGCTTTTAACTATACTCTCTGGCACAGCATTTGGTTTAGATTTCCTTAATCCTTTGAGGAAAGATCAGATTCTTCCCTGTTCTTAGGCCTAATGTGGTGCATTTCATATAATAGTAGGTACCCCATAAACGTTGGTGTGTTGTTGGTTTATTGGGAAGTGTGTTGTTTGAATCACACCCTTCTGTTCTCTCTGACTCTGGAATCATTATAAACTCTGCCAAGATTTTACTATTTGGGAAATTTTGATTGGCTCTCTAGCTCAGAGGTTGACCACTTTTTTTCTCTCAAGGGCGAGAAAATAAATATTTTAGGTTTTCGGGCCATTAGATGTATGTTGCAACTGCTCCTGCCTCTGGGGTATGAGAACAGCCAGAGGAAATATGCAAAGAAAAGGGCATGGCCGTGTTCTAATACACTGTTATTTACAAAAGCAGGTGGAGAGCCACATTTGGCCCCAGGTCTGTCCTTTTGGGACCCCTGCTCAAACAGTGTCACTTGCACTGACAAACAGCTGATTTGCTTTGTCCTCAAGATAGTTTTCTCCTGCAGTTCTAAAGGCTAGTTCTGAAGGTCTGATTGATGTGTTATAAATTTACTTTAGGATTTTTGAGGTCTTGATCTAATTCCTTTGATGTTTAAAACTGTCAACTCACTTCACTTTGGCCATTTGAGAGATTAGGATTGCCTTATTCCACAATCCCATGGGGTTATATTTGGAGTCAGCATAGCTGTGTCTTGTTAGACTCTTTAGAAAACACCTGGGCTTTGTTTATTTGCTTGGTTTAATCCCTAGTGAAGACAAGAGAGCAGTACTCCTCAGCACAGGGCAAGAAAGCTGGGAGTTGCATATCACCAGCCTGGACTACAATGTTGGTCTCTTCTGTGTCTCAGGCATGGGGAGAATGCAGTTGTCTAAAGCCTGTCCTGTGATGTTTTATGGCTCTTTTGGGCTACCTCAGTAGACCCTTTGCTCAGCTTCTGTGTCCAGAAGGATAGGGCAGGTTTTCAACATTTTCCGCACTTCAGTAAGTACTCTCCAAGAGTAGCCTCCTGGAGGGTAAAGGGAAATAATCTTTATTTCCTAAATATTTCAAGTTCTTGACCTCTACATTCCTGTTCACAGTTCCTCCCAAGGGGAAGCCATGGGACCCTTTTGCAGTCAGGACCTTTGACCACCCGATTATTGCTCAATGAACAGTTGATGGGCAGAATTTTTAAAGTATGAATAGCTTGCAGGCTGAGTATAGTTAAACCCCCCAAATTTTGTAGCTTTCTTCCCTCTAATCCTATGAACTGACATCTAAATTCTCTTTTCAAAAGGGCAAGAACAAATCATCCCCATCCATAGTCCTAACCATAAGTTTGTTTGGAAAGATATGTACATTGAATAAAATTAGAGCATATTGTCTTCATAACTTTAAAAGCCAATACTTTAATGCTCACCTTTAACGTCTATCCTAGACAGAGGGGATAGATTAAAAAATAAAAGTGCTATTTTTCTTTTCAACATGTGCTTAGATGTGCGAGTATCTCCTTTAATAATTTTTAAATTAAAACACTCACATATTTCATTTGCATAGCATAATGGACTGAATATTTGTCTCCACCAAATTCATATGTTGAAACTCTAATCCCAGTGTGATGGTATGTGGAGGTGTGGTCTTTGGGAGGTGATTAGGTCATGAGGGCAGAGCCCTCATGAATGGGATTAGTGCCCTTATAAGAAAAAGCCAGAGAGTTAGCTAGCTACTTTCTGTGATATGAGGACACAGCAAGAAGACAGACTTCTGCAACTGAGAAGAGGGCCCTCATCAGAACCCGACCATACTGGCCACCTGAGCTCAGACTTTCAGCCTCCAGAACTGTAGGAAATAAGTTTCTGTTGTTGATAAGCCACCCAGTTTATGGTATTTCGTTATAGCAGCCCAAGCTGACTAAAATGCACACTCAACTTTGTCTTTCATTGACAACTTTGTTTTATTCAAAGGAGGACACACTGCGGGCTCCCAGAAGGAGGCACCCAAAATTAAGGCCATTTGGGTGTACTAGATTAGAATGGCTCATCTCATTTCCATACCTGGTGGCTGAGAGGACAAAAAGAAACTCCTTGAGAAAAGAAAATTCTCTCTGTGATGTCATAATGTCTAGTGGCTGCAAACCTTGAAATCATGAAATTACTCAGAGCCTGTAATTTAAAGTTTATTTCATATCTATTGTTAAATTACACAAAAATCAGTGAATGGTTTGTAAAGCTACACCACTGGAAAGATGTTTACAGTCAAAATCATGGGATTTACATGATGGTGACCAAAATGTATATTTATAACGTCCCCTATATACAATAAATCAGTATAGACAGAGAAAATGCACTTAATCTCTGCAAACCATGCACACCACAGCAATAACACAAAATATTTTTTTCTGTAACAAGCTTTTCCACTGGCTCGGGCTTCAACCTGCTTTCCAGCAGTACCTATCAGTTTTAAGAGCAAACAATATCAATCAAAACAAAACAAAATTGAAATACCACAGTGATCTACAGAATCATTAGTTTAAAAACACAAAGTACACAAAATAGTTTCACTCTAAAACAGTTTGACTTCAAGATGTTTTGGATTTTGAAAATTTTTTTCCTTTCAGTTTTCCAGTTCTCAGATTCCCAGGACTGCGATACTGTCGGACAAAACAAAATTTAGATCTACTGATACAAGTGCAGAGTCAAGAACATTTATTTTTTAACCAAGTACTCAGCTTCTTGTCCAGCTTGTGGCCTTATTATTACAGATGAAACTAGATCATGCAAATGAGCAGATTGTACAAGATGTGACTTTATGGTCACACTTCTAAGCATGTCCCTCGTGAAAACATAAATGCCACTTCCAGTTGCCTTTTTGATTGACAGCCAGGGGCTTAGCATAAGTCCTTATGAAAGGATAGCAAAACCCGTAAAATGGAAACTGCCCAGAATCAGGATGCCTGCTTGCACGGTGGGTTACATCCTTCCTTGTGCCCTGCGCAATTCGCAGTTGATACCCTAAAAGTATTTCTGCACAGACTTCCAATACCAAATCACTTTCTTCAATCCATATGCTTCTGATGTTTAACCTCAATGCAGAACACTCCTGCCTTTTGTTTTCTCAAAACAAAACCTGGTACACGGTTCACCCAAAGTATGGAGGTAAAGCTTTTGGTGTTACTGAATAATGCTGACTATCCTAGTGCTTCTTCTAGCCTTGTTTTTTCTCTTGTAATTGTCTATACTCTGTCAACATGAAAAAGAACTAATGGGCTAGAAAATAGCCAGCCCAACTGGAAACATTACAATAAAAATGCACAAAAAGTAAATAACAATTCATTCACATTCAGGTTTAATTCTATCTGATCAAGAATAATAACTTGAGCAATATTTTAAGACACATTATCCTGTTCAAGAGTTTCTTGATAAGGACCTCACTACACAAACATTGATAAGACAATTCTACAGAAAGAAAGTCCCGACTTTAATCCAGGATTATATTATCACAATGAATTCAGCAACACACCATTTAGATGATGAAGAAAGATTCTAAAACGGGTTAGTTTGGAATGAGCACAACTAGGAGAAGCTTTAAAATGAATGAGAAGCAGTGCCAAAAAGAGTCCAGAATTGTTGAAATTACAGTGCCCAGAAATCATCTGGAAATTAGATCTTTGCATTGGTACTCCATTTGGAAAAAGTGTTTTATTTAATATGAGATACACCCTGTTTAAAACCTTTAAATAGTAGAAGGCAGAAAAAGTTTAAAATTTTAAACATCTCTGAAATAACAAGATATGAGTCCCGTTCTACTCGAAAGCCAATATTTTTACATAAAACTACCCATGTTTGGGAGAGAAGTTTTTCATTTTCTACAGTTTGGTAAACTCTACCATCAGTTCTTATTCTTTTAAAATAGATTCCTTGTTAAAATCAGAAGAAAATGAACAGGTTCGTGTTTAATTTTAGTTTCTTTTGTGTTATATTCATGCTTACCCCTGGAAAAAAATGTTTGCTTCCAAGACTGGGTTTCAACAGTGTATCATGAATAATGTAAAGTCCATTTCTTAGCTGTAAGTTAAACGGCCACATTTTATGTTTTCATTTTGTCTCTATGACTAATTTAAGAACTTCTGAAAATATCTAAACAGCAATTTCTGATGAGTCTGGTTTGCCTTTTGGATTTTATAAATTCCCCACAAACAAAAAAGAAAAAAAAGACAATTTAATTACATATTGAAATTTGTTTTACCCACGCACAGTAGAACACTGAATTGAAAGGCAACTGTAAAGGCAACATCTTAACTTTTGTAACTTCCAAACTTAAGGAAGCAGGATGTGTTTGGACACTCTCATGTTTGAAGACTTGCCCTATTTTGACTGGCGCTTTGGGAGAAGTGTGCAAAAGCCTTTGGGAGCCATTTAGCGCCATTTCTCTACACTGCCTATGTAGTCATGGGTGTCATTGCTGGTGTTGCCATCGCTCTGCTCTTGGCCAGGGCTCTGCTTCTGGCTTTCCCGATTCTCCTTCGGGCTCGGATTCTGACCCGAGCTCTGAGTCAGATTCTGAATCAGATTCTGAATCAGATTCTGAGTCACATTCTGACTGGCATTTAGGTTTGGGGTCTGACTCGGATTCTGACTCGGATTCTGGCTCTGGCCCTGACTCTGGCTCTGGAAATGGGTCTGAAGGAACCTTCCCTTCAGAAATTTGCGTTGTTCCTGACGCTTCTGCCTAGCTTCCTGATGCTCTTTCTGCCTCATAAACTGATACCTTTGCAAAAAGAGATCCTTTGCATAGCTGTACAATTCCATATCCAGAAAATTCAGTCCCTCAATACGCTTTTGGATTTCCTCATTGATCTCTACGCTAGAGGCCCTAGTGGTGTTATATTGGGTAAACGGCGAAATAAAGTTCATGTTGAAGGTTTTCTCAAACAGATACTGGGTCTTCCGCTGAAACTCGGTGAGGCCGAAGAACGCCATGTGCTTCAGATTCGATTTGGCGCTTTCCAGGAGGACCTTGTTCCTCTGCTTTTCGGGCATGACCGACAGGTTGTAGCAGCCTACGAGGGTCAGGTCAGAAAGCATGCGCACCTGGCGGTTGTTGGCTAGGTTATAGGGACAGTCCATGAACTCTTTCAGGGGGCAGCCAGACCAGTCGTCTCCAGTGTAGCAGCTGGGCAGCTCTTCGGAGGTTGGGGGCCTTCCATCGCAGACATGTAGGGACGCTTTCCATGTCGCCCCTCTCTGGACATGCCTCCACTCACTCAGGTACCGGGACACTGGGTCACGGAGGATGGTGATGTAGTGGAAGTTCCTATGGACAAAGCACAAAGGCCAACGGTCAGGGATTCAGGTGACATAAGTGGAGTCCGGGAGGTGCATGGCATATGTGATGTTCACTGGTCAGGAAGGAAGGCAAAAGGGAAATGATGGCGATCTGGTGGCAGTTGTCCTGTGAACTGTGCTATCGTCCCCTCTCTGAGTCCCACTAGCCAGTCCAGAGAGCTCATTTTTCACCCAATTCACTGGTACTGCAGCTAAAGCACTATATCCGCGGAAACTCCCCTCCCCTCCCCTCCTTTCCCTGCTTTTCTCTCTCTCCAACCAATGACAAAGTCCTCCCAATGACCTCATTTATTTCATACTCCCCACCCCCAAACCCCCATTAACTGATCGTGAAACGGAGACTCAGTGGAAACACGTGATTTCACTGAAGTGATACGAAGTTGACAAGTGAGTTCAAGTTCTAATCTTTCTTACTAAATACACAAAAGCATTTTTCTAATATCTAGCCTAATCGGGATATCTTATTAAAGAACAAAACTTCATTGAAAGAGTGTGTGATATGATGCTTTTGATTCTGGCTGTTGTCATAACATCATGGCTCCTACGTGATGGCAGTGGAATGTGGAGATACGCAGCGCAGCCGGGGGACCTCCAGAAATGGACATTGTGGTTAGTCACTGACTGAAATAGATATGGTAGCTGCCAATGGCATATATATAAGCTACTACCTTGGTTTCAGCCTTTGCTCATGTGCTAATATTCCCAGCAGAGGCAAGTTAACTCTATCAGCTCCAAAATGCCCCTTTTCTTTACCCACAGAAAGGACACCCTGATGTCAGCATGTGTGGAGGCTTTGCTGTGTGGCTGTCTTCAATTTAAAGCTGCAAACTGATCAAGTTCTTTGCTCAAATAGCAGACTAGGAAACGTTGAAACCACACACCCACACACACCCATACATAGCAGGTGCACGCACACACGTGCACACACACACACACACACCCCGCCGCACACACACCCCCCCAGAAGCATCCCAGCTTATAATGTGATCAGGGAAAAGCAACTCAGCAGTTGTGCTTTCATAATAAATGAGCTTCCACTCAGGTTCAGTGGATAAAGGACGAGGTCGTGGATGAGCCGGCCTATCGTGGAAGGAAGACAACAATAAACGCTGAATATTAACATTTAGTTTCTGCAAAGAAGCCTGGGGAATGGCTTGCAGCTTCTCTGAAGTTTATTCATTCCCATCTGAGGGATGGTGGTTCTCTGAGTCTGGTGGCTGATATCCTCTGAGCAGACTCTCCTCCTACGTCTTGGGCTTTGAGCAACGAAGGCACCTTGGGATCTATATCCCGTGTGCCTGTTCTGTGCATGGTGTTTCCTCTGCCTGGCGTGACCTTCCTTCTTTAACTGAAAATTCTAGGCATCCTTCGAGTTCCAGTCCAAGTACTATCTCTCCTCTGAGAAAATGTATCCCACCCCTTGCTGCCGGCCATCACCTCTTCCTCAGTGTCACTTCCACACTTGAACCTTTGTGAAAACACTTTTGATACTGAATTGCAATCAGTTGTTTGTATTTCTGCTTAAACTAGGTTTTCCAGGGCAGGGGATTTAGGCATTCTTCTCCAACTCTTATCTCGTCCATTTCAGCTTTGTACCAGGCACAAAGCAGAATCTTCATAACTCCTTTAATTACTTCTTTAATGAACTATCTCGGGAAGAGGGGGGAAAGAGTTTGGAACTGGGAAGGCCATGCCTCATTATATTAAAAACTCTGGAGAATCTAAGTGTCTGGCAAAAATTATAGAAAATTTTAAAAATCACCTTCTATGATTTTCTGGCATAAACAAGCATGGGGCACAGGAGAAGCATTGGGGAGTAAGGCCGGAGAGGGGGCCAAGATGACCTTCACCTCTCTCAGTGCTTTTCCTGGGACCTGACTTTGCTGGTGCCACTCAAATTCATCTCTGTAGAGACCCACTGCTAACGAGTAGCAGCTTTTGTTCCCCAGTAGCCTCCTTGACCAACAAAGGTGACTGCTGTTCCCATGGGCTCTGCCCTTCCACTCCTAGCTTTGGTATTCATTCATTCATTCCTTCAGTACGGATTTATCAAGCCTTTATGCTAGGCCTGAGGCCATAGCTTTGTGGCAATTAGTCTGCTTATTTGGAAAAAAAAAGACATTTATGAAGTGCAGTGACACATTTGGATTAGTCTTTCAACCAGCTTTTCCAGGCATGCATCATAAATGGGTGTTTTAAACCCCCATGATGGAGTCACCTTCATGCTCAGCTGACAGTCCTCTGCTTTACTGGTTTAAGCCTACAGTGACATCTTCTGGTAAATTCTAGAGTGCACACCTGTGCAAGCCTGCGGCTCTCCTACCTAAAATCTCTCCCTTGTCCTTCAGAGTAGACAGATGGCAACCAGCAGGGTTAGTGTCTGGACCAAAGCACCATCCCCATGTGGAGAGAGAGAGAGGCAGCACAGGAAGGCAGAGGCAGACATTCACAGACGCTCTCATGTTATGGATGCGCGACTCCTCCCAGATGAAGGTCTCCTAGTGCCGTTATGAGAGGAGAGCCGTCCAAGGTGCGCAGCCTCGGTCTCCACACTGTAGGGATTATCACAGCAGCAGAGAAATTAGAGGCGTCTACACGCGTGCACGCACACGTGCTAGTGATGAGAGCTACCCTCCTCAGATGCCAATAGCTCTGGAGAGTCAGTGATTGCCAGCAGCCCCCTTCCTCCAGGGAAGATAGGCCCAGGGTGCCAGACTGCCTCAACTGGAAACACTTGATGCTGCTTGGAAAAAGATCCCCTGGATGAAAAGGAAGATCCGCTGAAGGGTGGGTCTCCAAGACTGTCCAGTGGCCTCCCAAATGGCATAGTGTGTTGGAGGTGGGAAGGCAGGTGAGAATAACCCCTGGAAGGTTTTGTTGGGCAAAGGATCGAGGATGCTCATTATTCTGAGTGAAGAGCTGTCAGGGAAATGTCAGAGAAGCCGTCTCCCCACCCAGAGCAACTGAGGATATGAAAGCCCAAGCCAATGGCGCAATGAGTGGAGAGGCAAATAGGCACAGAAACATGGGTGGCACTCTTCCAGAGCTCAGTTCTGTTCAAGCACCTGTGTGCCTGGCACTGAGAGAGGTCCTGGGGATGCCTAGAGGGCTAAGACTCGGGGCCCCTAGCGGAGCATTCCATTCTAATGTGCTATTAATGACTGGAGCAGGGACAAGGCACAAAGAAAGCACCTTGCAGTGATTCTCAGCCTAGTCTAATGATAGAGGAAGAGTTTCCGTAGCTTTATTTTGAAAAACAAGGAAGAATTAGATGAGGCAAAAAGAGCAGAATGGAGTATGAGGCAGAAAGGTCAGCATGAGCAAAGGCACAGAGGCATAAACTAGCCTGCTGTGTGTGGAGGAAGGGCACAGGAAACATCTTACTGGGAATTACGGGCCAGTGACCGGAATGGAGGATGGAGAGGTAGTTACGGACCGGGTCGTGGAAGGCCTCAGATGCCACATTAAAGAAGTTAGATTTCTGGGAATTCCCTGGTGGTCCGGTGGTTAGGACTCCACGCTTTCACTGCCGAGGGCCTGGGTTCAATCCCTGGTCAGGGAACTAAGATCCCGCAAGCCACGTGGCATGGCCAAAAAGGAAAAAGAAAAGAATTAGACTTCTGAAGGCAACAGGGAGGCCTTTTTAAAGGGTTTTAGGCAAGGGAGTAACATGATAAGGTCTGTGTTTTAGAAAGATCACTGTATATGGTGTGTGGAATTGGGGAAATGGGTTGAGGTTACTATAGAAAACAAGACAGAAGAAGAGGGAGCAGACTAGAGAGATTTAAGAGGTCAAAGTAACAAGACTTAGTGACAAAATGAATATAGGGGAGAGAGAGAAGGAGGGGTAAGGAGGCCTCCCAGGTCTCTGGCTGAATGGACAGATAGAGCCTCAGACAGTGATCTGGGCTTCGGATGTGGAGTTGTCAGCAAAACGTGCTAGTTTCAGACCTTGAGGACTTACTTAGGATCGGTTTTTAATTCCACAAGTGTGGCTTCAGGTATTTGAAGACAGCATTCCAGTACCCCGAGGTTTCTTTTCTTCATGCTAAATATGGTTTTCAACTGTTCTCTCCACTGCTTCAGGTCCCCTCACTATCCTTTTGTTTGCCTCTGAATATATTCCACTTTATTGGAACATGCCCTCTAGGCACAGTCTGACAAGGAACAAGTAGGGACAGTCTATCTCCCCCCTCATTCTTGACACCATTTCTCTTCACGTGGCCTCATCAGCCTTTCTGGCAGACGTGCCACAGCACTGACACGCTGTCAACGACCTTCTTGCATTCTTTTACACACAGGCCATTTGGAAACCCAATCTCCTTTGTCCAGAACCGATGCAGTTTGTTTGTGGCCCTGTTTAACTTCTTCTTGGTAGAGGAAGTCTAAGCCTGTCAAAACGCATCTGGATTCTGATCATATCGCCCAATATCTTCACCATATCTTCTTCTTTTCTTCTGGCAATGCCTGGATCCAGGCATTGATTAAAACAGAACAAGATGCAGGTGAGAGCAGATCTTTGATAGCTGCTGGAAATCTCCCTTCGAGTTGACATAAACCGGAAGGGTGCTGCTGAATGGTCTGATTTAATTTTAAACGAGTGAGCCAAGCTCAGCCACAGAAAAATCACACTCAGCCTGTTTCAGTTAGTATGTTTCAGTTAGTATGTTTCAGTTAGTATGTTTCAGTTAGTAGTGACTGGACAGGAATATCTTGTGACCAACCATGTCACTTCATTAAGATGACCAGGTGTCACATCTTTACAGTCATGACTCCCCCTCAGTTACCCGAGTTGACCCCCTCAGTTACCCAAGTCGATTTAAAGACCATTGTTTGGTGCCTTTGTATGCCCATGGTTTCTCAAAAGGCAGGACACAGTGAAAGGTTTGCCACCCTCTACAAGTCTAGGCCAACTTTTATGTGTCATTGGTAAGCAATTGTGGAAAAACAGCAAAGAAGAAAGAGCTG